TTTTTTTAAGTCTTTACTTTTCAAATTAATATGTTTGTATTTGTTTACACACACATATATACAATAATTGCAATATGCTTAACCTACATAGTAATAATAATAATTAAAAATTGATAAACATAAAAATAAAACGAATTTAAAAAGTTTGGTCCCTGTGACAGTGTAACGCTGGCAGCATTTCCTCTAGCTTAGCTCTGTATTGCGATACTTTTTCGTTGAGCAAGGAAAGCACCAGCTCTGGGGTTACCGGTCAATGAAAACATTTTACAATTGTTACCATTATACATAGAATAAACAATTGTTAAAAGTTTGGTTTTACGCATAGTAGTTAGTTACCCATAACTCCTTAATAAGCTTAATAAGCCGATGCAATATTTTTTGCGCATCGCAAGTGCGTGCAACACTTAATGTCTACATTCATGTATGTGAACAAGAATTAACAATTGTATTCCCATGCAATTGCAATTACGCAACGAAGACGTACGCATTGATAACGAGGTTTTTTGTAAATAAAACTCGTGAGACCTATAGCTCAATTAGATTTATGGGTTAGTAAATCTTTAGTGATTTAGTTCAATGTCCTTTCTTACGAGATATCAGCTGTTGAATTAATGTGGCTTTATTCCAGGCTTTCTGACACTCGGAGAACCAGGGCAGTCCACTAAAACCACCTCTCAACTTGCCAACTAGCATTTCAGAAGCATCAGCTTTCGCAGTTTATGGTGGTCCTGGCGGCATGGCCAACTAGATCTTATCCTCTTTAATAACGTATATAACTAGTTTAATGATCTGATGTAATCTGCAATCAAAATCTTCAGCAAAGCTCGCCAAACAGCGCCAAGAATCCTATACTAGGATTATATTATTTGTATAGTAAAATGCGCTTATGTATATAATAATAATAAAGAGAAAGAAGCAGACAAAAATATCTTAAGGCTTATTAAAGATGTATCAATAAAAATTTGTACTAAAAATAATTTTGCCGTGGCCTTTATTTTTGCGTTTCGGTTTTTGTCGCCCATCAAATATAAATTGTTATATGTACGAAGTTGACCTCAGACGTTCGACTGCACATTATGAAAATGAATCTAAAAATTATGCGTCTCGGTCTATATCGTTGTCTATGCATTTTTTTACAATCTGAGTGATGTACTTGAGTGCAGACTATTTCAAATTTCCTTGAATTTTTATCGGAAACTTATCCTAGGCATTCAGAGCGCGCAGAGGAGATTCGCCTGAGTTGCTTTACATTTATGAAGATTTAGGCTGAAATTCGTGTGCATTCAAACTTGTATATGTCGCAAATTCATCCCCAGTGAATACAAATATGATGCAGTCATCGTGATTCATGTGTCTGCTGCAGTAATGAATAAATTATATCGCATAGAAACATGTTTTTTCGTTCAATAAATTGTGCAAAAAATATTTTGCGCATTGATTTTCAGGTAAAGATAACAAAACTTCGGTATACATTTGTCATTGGAAAGTATAAAATACCGAATAATGTTACAGGCTTCCAATTATATTTAAGTATATCAGTTTTAAATTTTTTAATGATGTTCCATTTATATCTATAAAATAAGAAATAAAGTTGCCATACTAAACTGACGCCTATTTCGAGGCTATAGACAAATCGTAAATGGTATCGAAAAATTGTATGACTGCTATAATAATTGTATAGCTCTCGAAGGCGTTTATAATTACGTATTATTGATTAATCAAATCAAAATCTATAAAAAAAATCATCTAAGCCTAATAACTTCCTAATAGGCTTAGATATTTTCAATGATTTAAAGAAAGCTTTTATGTGTATTAATTTCAACTTGTATAAAAAATATCGCTTGCCGCTGTTTGTACAGATCTCGTGAATGCTCTGTCTACTTGAATTACATTAGCTATAATTCAGTATAAAAAACAAAGTAGGTACTCTACTACTTTGAGACACGAAAAACTAAGATATCGTTAATTCTCTACACAAAAGCTTCTACGTTAGTAAATGGCTAATACCATCCGAAAGTCCTGAGATAAAATCGTCGCATTGTGCCGTATACTAGGCCTATATAATTCGCTAATTTGCTGTATTTAAAGCGGTCGTATCACTGATGATCTGATATTTTCTGAATGATGGTACTTTCTCTTCATTTACGTTCGAGATTTAAATTAAAATTACTATCACTATTGTGGGTAAGGCTCTAGTAATTGCTAAGCAAAGATAATACCCGACTTCTATATTTAAACTAGTCGTCATTGATTACGAGTAGTAGAAACAAAATAACCCTACCAGGTTTTATAAATCATCAACGCACTAATAATTTACAAGCCAATAAAAGCTTATACAATTTATATTAAATTGATTTTATATAAAAAGGAAACAAAGGGTTTAGTATGAATATATTTTTTATTTAAATTTACATATATATAATATGTAACAGTAACCTCTAACTATGACTTCTGTACGTCAGAATTTAATACATTTTTGACTTAACATAGTTAACGCAAAGTCTCGTTTCTGGCTTTTACCCTGAGCCTTAGTCACATAAAGCTTCATCACTTAAGTGTTATCAAATATACGTTCTGATGAAAAATATGAAGTTTAAAAACCACTTTAAAGTAAACACCAAAAATCATTAAGCTAGAATAATTATATACTTGTATATAACCAGTTATAGCCGCTCCAATTTCCCCATCTTGTTATAAAGGAACATTACAATTAGATAAGCTGTAATGATAGAATCGATTACAATCAATTCCATTACTACTCCGTATTCAATATTCAGCTTTTACTAACAATATGCTTGCAACTTGTATGGAAGATTGATGGTATCAAGATAAACCATCAGAATGCAAATTTAATGTGAATTAAAATGGGAACAGGTATTTTTTATTGCTTACAGGTTATAATATAATTGCTGCATTAATTGCATTATTTTTAGTATTTATAAAATAATTGTTTAAATAGTAAATATTAGCTATGGCCAATAATAATAAATTATTACAACAAAAGTTATTGGCAATCAATTTTTTATACCAATTTTCCTTAAGTTACGTCCAAATGTTGTTTTCCTATAATCGAAAAATATAATATAATAGAAAGAAACCCGCAATATAAGAAGACAAGGGTGGAGCTTAAAATGAAAGCCTTTCATATGTTTTCGTTAAATATCTTATTAAGATATAGTTGTAAAAGTAATAACGGGATATACAATACGTAATACGGCTTTAGCTAACTGTCACGAGATTTTTAAAAAAGTGAGCTTTTAAAGAAACCACGTCAAAAAATGAAAGCTATGTAAAATTGTCGCATGCACTCACTGATGCGTATAATAAACCAGTTTATCGTACACGATCGAAATTAAATCGAGCAACTGACAGTTATCTAACTACGCACAGTGAAAGCGAAATGTCTAATTATTTTTATTTTTTTTAATCACAGAGATGACACAGCGGTATTTCGATTATATTATTTTATTTACGGTACAAATTTATATAATATAGTCTGAATAATGGCGTGAGATAGACACATTTATTATTATTTACAAAAAACCATTACATGTCCAACAACCATACAAAAAAATATTGATAGTCTTTTATTAAATATACCCGATTCTATTATTAATTATTTGGAGTTTAATAAAGCCACATTAGAACTTTTAGTAGACAAAAAGTACCAAAGTTTTAAAGCTTATAAAAGCTCAACCGTATTTAATAAGCTTTGGAATTCTTAACTGTCAGATAGGAAACCTTGTTTTATTGCTTTTGTAAAGTGATCGAATTTAAATTGCTCTCTATTGATATCTGATAGCATTATATTTTGTTATATCACTTCACTTTCTATTACATACCGCAGTTAAACAGTATATTAATTTTATTTTACACAGATGATAAAATCGGTATTAAAATTTCACGTAAATAAATTGTACAGTTATCTTCGTGTGGTGTAAATTAAGATTTTATTATCGAGTTTAATTTCACTTAAATGTTTTCTTATTAAATTTTTCTTTCGTATTTTGAAAATAGAAGATATTCTTAAAATATAACTTTATATATTGCGAAAACAGTAAAAGTTTGCTGTTCAATATCATACATGCAATTTAAATAATTTGTCGTGTTATTTTTGATTTTCTTACATTGTAAAGGGTAACAAGTATCATTGGATAACAATGACTAAAACTCGAGCAAAAAAGGCGTCGGCCGGCGGCAGCGCGGTCACAACTTTCTGGTTTACTAGGTCGAGTAATTTTATTTTATTTTTCTTTTTTATCGCGTTAACAGTGAAAATTACAGTGAAAACGAGTTGTAGCTTTTTACTACATGATGTTTTATTATTGTACGCAACGAAATTAAAACATTATTTTTAAAAAGTCCAGAGTAATATGTGAGTATAAGTGAGTGAACGATTATAATACATATATGTCATTGTACATGAACTAAAATAACTAATGTACTTTAGTAAACATATAATATTGAATCAAAGTAAATCGTAAATAATTTTCTTCATATCTGAAATATTTTTTTTTGTTGTTACAGATTAGCGAGTAGGTATTTGAATTATTTTTTAATATATCAATTATATAGTTATATTATTTCGATAAATGTTGTATCTAATGCGCCCATTAATAAAACTTCGTGATTTATGCGTGAGAATTTGTTGTTTGCATAATATTATTAGTGATATAAATTTCGAGACGCATAAAATTTTAATAATATACATATTTTTATTTATAACGTGTGCAAATGTGACTAATTTTATTTGATCAATTATGTTAATTAAACACGGTGTTTGGATGTCATTATTATTTATGAATGAACTTTTTGTTGTTTAGAGAATATGTTATTAAGATCAAAGAATAATTTTTTTGCACCATAGAGTTTAAAATTTTATAACACAGTTTATTGCACTTAATAAAAAAAGTCACCTACCTTTCGTAGAGAAGAGTATAAAATTCGAAAACGTAATCGCTCCAAATCACTTTAAAAAGTTATTAAAATTCTTAATATTATTAATCCAAACACTTATCACATTCAATCACAAAATCCATAGGAGTCAGTAGCACTCGATATCCATTAAGAGCAGTTGACGCTAGGCGCGTGCGCAGGTCGGCATGGCGTCGCGTTATCAGCGCGAGCGGCGCGCCGCGCGACAACAACAGAACTTGAGAGCCGATCTCAATAGTAACAAGAAAAGAAAACGGTCCAGTTTCAGCAAGGCTTCCGGATGGCTCGGACGGGGCGCGGTCTATCTCTCTCACACTCGCTCTCGCTCTAACGGTACTCGGCTTGAACGATAGCGCTAGTCGCAAATGCGACACCGCCCAGCGCGACAGCCTTCGAAAGCCTGCTCGCATTTTCCCGCCACTTATGTTCCATTTTTAAATTTAATACTTAGCCTGATATTTTCTTAAATCAATTCTGAAATAATATTTTAAACAATTAATTAGGTTCTACAGATTCATATATAAAGTCACTTAAGGGCGCGGTTAGCCTTATCTACGATTACATAAGACTAGACGGAGAAACGTTCTTATCATGCGCAGAATGATAAGCGGTTCGTTTAAGTCTTTTGTATGGGCTAATAATTCAACATTGTGTAAGACGTGATATTGTGCAGATAATTTTCGTTTTTTAATTAAAACGTGTCGTGCGAGAACATGATTACGAAACGCGAGCAATAAATTTAGGTTAACTGAGTGTTTTAAAAAAAACGGTTTACGTTTTGATAAACATTTTTTTTATAGCAATGTGATTCAGACTTATTTTAAGACTCGGTAATTAGATTTGTTAACGTTTTTAAAATCTTTATTTATAGTTTTATGATTAATTTTGAATACTACTAAAATAGGTGCAATTTTTTTCCAATGAAATCTATTTATCGAACGTAAGCCGAGGATTTCTGACTTGCTTTTATAAAACATTAACATATGTAGACTTTAATTATTATGAAGTTCTGAAGTTTACGTACAACGGTAAAAGCTTGCTTATTAATATCAAATACAGAGGAAATTATGTAATAACAAAAGTTGTATCACGTGTAAGTTTTAATCCTACGGTAAAAGAGGCAATATTTTTTCAATTATATTTAATTCTTTAGTTTGAATTATTGATCTAATAAGCATGTGAGTACAATTTATGTTTACTATCACTTTAGGTTACTTTAAAATGAGACCACAAAACAACAATTAATCTACTATATCTCAAATAAATATGACTACGAATATCAAAATTTTTGTGTTTTACTCCAAAATATTTCATTCAATAAAATTTATAGTCTACAAAGTACTAAAGTAATATAGTTCTTTATTTTAACATGTTAACAAAAATAAATATTAAAAACACATCAAAAGTATAGTAATTTGATATTCTCCGAAAACGAAACAGTTTCAAGGTGTTAAAACTGTACTTAATAGTCTAAATTGCATAAAAAGGTTCATCCGAACTCGTTATAACTCTTTCAAGAAGCTTTTACCCTAATAAGCCTTCGTTAGCGGCGTAAAAATTGCCTTATTTAATTCACTGTATGAGCTGCCATTGGACAATCAGAATTGCGTCTGCTCCTTTTACATTTTTAGGTCACTTGAACTTTGATTCGAAGGAATTATTATTATACACACAACTTAAACAACAAATAAAATCAGCAAATATCTCTAATAAGATATTTCTTCCAGACTTCCATCAATCTTTTAATCATTGTGTGCTTTATAGAAAATTGGGTAACTTTTGTCTGGGTAACTGGGTAGCTGTTTTTCTATTTCCGGTTTAAACCGGAAATAGAAAAACAGTTTTGTGTAAAAAAAAGCCCCTGGCTCTACAAGCTCCAAAAGGCATTTTCAAATAAACAAAAGTTTAAGCAAGACATTCTGTGGATGTGCAATATACATACTGGTGGAATGTTTATATTAGTATTCTTTAATATATGCTGTAACGCGATAAGATATATATTATACGTTTCTTAATATAATTTTGCCATACTATGAATGGTTTTTACGGAATGTTATGAGGGGCTTGGGAATACCCAATTTTAATGGTTTTGTTTTAAATAAATTACTGATTATTATTTTCCTATTATTAAAGGTAATCTACAAGACTGATTAAAGCTGAATACAACCTGTTTCCTTTGCTTAAACAACTGATCTTATTTTGTAAATTTGTCTGTAGAGATGTGGCAATACCTTTTACTTCTTATAAATTTTATCGCTATTTTTTTGTGATTTATTATACCAACTACTACTACCAAAATTGTCACTTACTACTCTTAATTGGTTCAAATAAAAAAAACCTTTCCTCATAATAATCGAACAAAAGCTGCCCGCATGTTATGCTAACATATATAAAATAAAATTGTAATGAATATCCAGTTACTATAATACATATATACATAAAATAAAACTCTTAATTAGCTTACGCATAATAATTTAATGAAATAAACTGAATGAATTTGACGACTCATTGGTCTAGTGGTTAGTACCCCTGACTGCGAACCCATGGATCCCGGGTTCGATCCCCGGCTGAGACGAACATCGATGTGATGAGCATTTGGTGTTGTGCTTAGGTCTTGGGTGTTTAAATATGTATTTATATGTCAAGCTATCTATAATATGTATGTATATCCGTTGCCTAGTACCCATAACACAAGCTTCACCAGGTTAGCATGGGACTAGGTCAATTGGTGTGGATTGTCTTTAAAAGAAAAGAATACATAGTTTACATGTATTACAAGTTTTTTAGATTAAATAAAAAGTGCTTAAACTCCAAAATAAAAATAATAATGTGGCGCAACAATCTATCTATCTATCATAGGTTTTCTGCATCATTCATAGATCCTCCTATCGAACTTAATGAAATGCGGAACTACAAAATATTTAATAAACCTATTCAACCAATGATTTATAACACCAAAGAGAGTCGGGGTAAACTCTAGCATTATCTACACGTTTTTCTATACACTCTATAAGGAAGATTGCAAAAACGTCGACATATTTAGTTACAACGTTAAGCCTTGCGAATTAGTTGTTCCAAATGAATTGCGCAGTCTCCATAGTAGCAGGGCGTGGTCAGGAGACCTTAGAGAACGGATGTGGCAGCCTCGCTCCGCCATTTCAGATCAGCGTTTGATGATAACCACATCTGAAGTTAATACAATAAAATATGTATCGCGGAAGTGTATACAATATCATTAAAACATATGTTATGTGAACATGCGTAGTAAGAGTTAATTATTGACACAAAATCTCCCTTTCCATCTTAAGTACCTACAAGGAAAATGTGTGTTTTTTTTTATTCATATTCTCTATAATTTCAAAAATTGCTTCGCTGATCGAATTCTGGGCCACAGGTTAGAATACGCATCCACTGAATTAAAGATTCTGTAAATCAATAAAATTAACTGAATATAATATATGTCACCGTAAAATTGTAATCACCGTTAGATTGTAATCTATCTCGCGAGATTGTAAACTGTCGAAAGATTGTGAACCTCAACGTACTGCTTACAATTTAACGTATTATTATTCGGTAGATTGTAATCTATCGAAGTGAAACCGTAAAATTACAATCTTAAAATTGTCAAATTGTTTACTGTCCGAAGGCTGTCCCTGATTGGTCGGCTTTATAGTAGACCGTTCTATGTCCATAGAGTTAGGAATGAAACTCGGGTATCAGTCAAATTAACTGAATATATACAGTATAAAAGTTATTAATACGACTTGATTTTACATAATACGACCCTAATTTTATTTGAATCAAATTACCGGGAGTGAAATGAATGTCCAAAATCTTTATAAAAAAAACTTATATACTAGTTAAAATATATAAAATAATTACGTTAAGTGCGACAGTTGAAAGTTAAACGCACAGACTAACACGCTTTATAGAGTAGTTAGTAGTCTGTGTCCGCCATGATTTGTTATGTCATTATCATTTTTTTCAATTGTAACTTAGAATTTAATAAAATTTCTTTTAAAATGTATATTATGGTATAATATAAAATTATAATTTGGATATTGTAACGTGGCAATATTCAAAGTCGGGGCGTGTCGATATAAAAAATATCTTGAGTGAAAAGGTCAGACGGTCGAAATTAAACTCGAATCACTGTAATGAGAGCAAAATATCCAGTATTCAGTCGATTCGAGAGCCCACCGAATTTTCTTACACCAGATAATTATGATATGATAATTTATGTGCATCGCTTTTGGCGCGATCATAAAGTTTTATGACTTAATTTTTGTTCTGCGAAGCGTTTTTTGATTATGGAGTAATTGTTATGTCACAATCATTAGTTTGTCATTAAATAAAGTCCCGTAACCATCAATGTATGGGGCAGATATTTCCATGTCAAAAGTCAAATATCATTTATTCATATAGGTAACACAATGTACACTTATGAACGTCAAAACAGAAATCTACAATAAATGCTTCTAATTTTACATTTACTGCCAGTTCTCAAATCAAGGGCGTAGAACGGAAGAGAAGAACTGGCAATAAACTCTCCGCCATTCTTTTAATCGGCAAGTTTTTTGTTTTACACTTAGTTTTGTGTTTTTAGTTAACAGCCATCTTCCTTACTTTTTATTTTCATTCGCCGTACGTATAGTAGTGTCGTATCGTATTACGCATATAACACTAATTCCAGTCAAAGTTCGTGCGTACGTCAATGATCGTAAGAACAAAGCTGTTATCAATGATATTGATTTAAGTAGATGACCTCGTAACTAATTTTAATAAGTCCGCGTGGACAACCGGAAAGGTCCACACAGATCCGTCTAAGTGGTGATCTGATTAAATAATTTATGTGTACTGCGAAGTTATTGCGGATACATTTTGTCATAATTGTTAATATTAAGTACATAGTTTTAATAGTATCCGCGTATATACCAAACTTGGTTAATTACATATGTTAATTTTACTAATATACACGTGCTATACTTAGCCGACAAGACAGGCTTTCTGGTATTGTAATGGACACTGCATGCATTAACATTACGATAAACTTTTTTCCTGTTTGTGCCTCTATATAAGTTCAAAGCTTCTTTGTACCAGCGGATGGCTATATATTATTTAAAAGCTATGATTCTGGCATTTTACAAGACCATGCACCCTTTATCACATCTTCCAGTTTTTTACTAGTTAATTAGCACTATCTGTGTAACGTCACAGTTAAACTAATCTAAATCTAAACAAAGTAGTGTTATTTACACCACTTATAACAAAGATGCTGTACAGTTAAATTAATCTAATGATGGATTTTTCTCCCGAATTAAAGCAGAATAAAAATAAAATATCGGAAATAAGTTATGCGAATTACAATAACTAAATCATCATTACACATACTACTAATCTAAAAAGCATT